GGGCCTGTGGACGGCGAGCAATGGGTAGCTCGCCGTCCGTCCGTCTAACGACGACAAGCCGTGTCGACGGCGCGTTTTGTTCCACGCGTGCCTCAAAGAGCTGTCAGCAGCGTGAAGGGGCCCGCAAGGGCCGACGCCTGCCGGGGCTGCGGGCTGTTCGAAAGAGATACCGCGGCTCCGGAACGTAAGGGCACTGAAGGAACACGGATGGTTTTTAGTCAGTAAAAGTCTGACACTCCCTTCCGCTCCACCCAGAGCGAAAGGCGTCATTTGATGATTTTCCATCCGCAAAAAAAAAAGGGTAGCAACAAATTAGACCGTATTTCCAGTAACGTTCTAACAATAATATCTTGACATTCACTTATTGATATAGATATTGAATAAATTATATAAGTATCGAATTGCAAGAACACAATGGCTAATATTAATAAAATAGTGATGAAAATGACAGAATCATCATTACCCTGTTGCAATTTTAGATTAAGCAATTTTTAAACATTAAAAAAAATTGTAAATAATAAAATCAACGATTAGGTAAACCTTAAAAATAAAGAAATACAATGTTAATAGTTATTACACTGTGTAGATACTGCTATATAGTATAATAATATAGTATATTTATTCAGTTCAGTATACTTACTCGTATTATGCAGCATGTACAAAACTGTATTCTCCAATTTTGTCCGTTGTCAAAATCTCCACACGTGAAAGTACTATATTGTTTGCTACTATTAAAATAAATCCTAAAAATGTTTATGTATACGTATTCCACGAATTCAATAAATTGTAACCAACCGCATTAAAGTGTGCCCATGTAACGATAATAAATCAAGTAATTAATAGACATCGGTGCTCATTTTTTGAACTCCAGCATTGACTCAATTACTCGTGTGGTGCACGGGCAATTGACATTGCCAAATATTTCAATGCACGCTTCGTTTACAGAATTTTTCGTATAATTTGGTGAACGAATTATGATTTCTGTTTAAAACGTTTAAACACATTCTCCGTCATAGTTAGCTCGTACAAGTTATTGAAAAAGACTAATACATGAAAGATCATAAAGTACCTCGTGTCCACCAATAGTAATATAATATTATTTTCTTTTATAGAATTAAAGTGACAAACGAGCACACAGTCCACCTGATGGTAAGTGGTTGCTGTGGCCTATAGATATTTACATCTATCTTCGTTTGTGACTCAAAATGCAGATGCGTTGTCAGCCGTGAGGACTAAGATAGAATGCCTCTTTTTCAGTAAAAAGGGTCTCCGGTTCTCTACACTCACCATACGAAACACATCAGCATTAAGCCGCTATTTGACGCTGATATACTATAAGAGCGTGGTCCTTCCCCGGTCAAGTCGACCCATTCATGCTCAACTATACTATTAATATAGCTTCATCATGGCTCTACCACGTATAAAATTCAATACATCAGATGTAATTTACCCAGGTTGAAAACGGGCAGTAGCGTCATAGTCATATGTGAGACGTTAATACGTCTATCAAGTATAATAAATTATGTACGGCAAATCCTCATTGTACAAGAAGCTCATATGCCACGGTGGACTGTCTCCAGGATTTTATAAGGTGACAGTAAAACCATCGAACAATGCGCGGTCGTCGGATACTTTGTCGATGTCCCTCGTATTCTAACCAAATGGTTTGCTTCATCTTTCGTAATGCGTACAGCAAACAATTGAAGTATACACTCCTTCCGAACAATTACAATCTGGGCGTATACAAGGCAAGAGTGAATAGGCTTTTGTTACGTTAAAACAAGGCAATTTACCATCCAGGACATAATCACAACTTACCATCAGGTGTGAGTAGTAAAGAACAGGTTTATAACAAGTAAAATAAAAACGTTTAACTAATATGACACAATCTATGGAGCAATATATTATGGGGGAGGCCTATATTCAGCGGTGGACTTTAATAGGCTATAAAGGAGCGGTGTGTTTCAGGCTTTGTTTAATTTTCAGTAAGTTTAAATTTAGGAAGGACTAAAATTAAATAAGAAGAAGCTCATCGGAGAACAATAGTGTAAACACTTTCTTCTCCACGAATTACTGCTTCATCATTACACTACAACGTCTGCAGTTTATATAAAGTAGTTATGCTCGCACGACTATTCTCCTTCACATTATTGATTATGCTGACGCAAGCTATGTAGACATAACTAAGAACCAGTTAAATATGCTTAAGAATCTTCAAAATACTAGATTGCATTCGGTTCATATTTGGATTGCGCAAATATGACCATATTCCATAATTTTACTCTTGTCTCAAGTGATTGTCTATCAAACTTCGCCAGAACTTGCACATCATTTCTATTCTTTTAATAACCCTTCCTATTTAAAGGAGAAATTTAAATTCGTAATGTATCCAGTGGCAGAACTTCGTTCTGTGAGAAAGTGAATTTTTAGAGTGCCAACTGACGTAACATCCTTTTTAACAAATGCTTTTCAGTCTAGTCTTTTAAGATATGGAATGCCCTGCCTTTTGATATCCGTGAGACAGAATCCATTAATACGAGTATCTTTAAAAAATTGTAAAAGAGTATTACTTGACTCAATCTCTAGGGCACTGTTAGGCCAAATAAGTACAATAATTATGTTTATATTGTATTTTTTTTTGTTTTATATTGTGTTTCCTTAAACAATTCGATTATTTATTTATTCATAATTTTTTGTATATGTGTAATTATTTTATTGCATATTTTATATTTAATTAATAATACATAGTGTAAAAAAATAAATAAGGGTATAATATAATATAATAATAAACTCATAAAGTCAATGTTAAAATTTTTGTTCAAAATTGGATTTCACAAAGCACTTTTTTCACCCTTACTGGGTTGATCTTGTGAGAAAAAGCGACAGAAAAATAACTAATTGCTTATATTTCCCCCAGCGGGATGATTATACCATATATACAATATATACCCAAATAAACAAGGACTAAAGAATTGCACTATGTCCATGCATTCTTATCTTTTCAATAATCATCGAATTAAAAATATAATTTCTCCATTGGTTTACATTGGTTTAACGCCAACAATTTGCTCTTAAACGGCAATAAGACAAAATGTATTAAATTTACAATACCTAATGTAAAACATTCGAAAACCAATGTGCTCTTAAATGGGGAGGAGTTGAGTCTTGTGGATACCACTGTTTTTCTCGGTATTACTATTGACGCGAAACTTCAATGGGGCCCCCATATATCTAAATTAGCAAGCAGACTTAGTTCTGCAGCATATGCTGTAAGAAAGATTAGAAGTCTCACAGATGTTGAGACAGCTAGGTTAGTGTATTTTAGTTACTTTCATGGCGTAATGTCTTATGGAATTTTGCTATGGGGTAATGCGACTGATATTGAAGCTATATTTGTTTTGCAAAAGAGAGCCGTACGGGCGATTTATAATCTAAATTGTAAAGAGTCCCTTAGAGAAAAATTTAAAGAAATAAACATATTAACTTTGGCATCGCAATATATTTATGAAAATGTAATGTATGTACATAAAAACATAAATAGCTTTAATAAGAATAAGGATGTTCATACCTTAAACACTAGGAACAAACATAAGCTTGTAATGCCACTTACAAGACTCCACAGAATTAGTAATTCATTTATGGGGCAATGTATACGCTTTTACAACAGAATCCCAGAACATGTTCAAAGTTTGTCAATAAACAAGTTTAAAAGTTTTATTAAAGAAAAACTGTACAAAAAGGGTTATTATAATATCAAGGAATACATGAATGAAAATAACCCCTGGGAATAAGGTGATCGCCACCATGCTGGTTCTATGAAAATTCATTTAAAATTGTATAAACAAAATTATTGTTAAGTGAAATTATGTTTAAAAAAAAAGTCCCGCTGGGTTTCTTGCTGGTTCTTCCCAGGACAGAGGTATTTTCCGAACCAGTGGTAAATAAAATAATGACTTTCAATAAGTATTATGTAATAATCCATATTGAATAAAAATCATTCTATTCTATTCTATTCTATTCTATTCCAAAAAAAAAATTATTTTTAAATGCACTTTCAATTTATGCTATAGCGATTCGGTTATATTACAGGGAATCTTGTTATAAATACGCCAGTTTTACGAAGCCAAGTACAGACTGAAACAGCAACTCTAAATTTATTACACATGTTAAAATTGTGGAAATCACTAGTTTTGTATTTAAATAAAGTGTATACGTTTAAATACTTTGTATTACCTCCACGTGGGGCTTTTACGATTATTATGTGATTCGGCAAGCCGTGAAAACTGTTGCTCTCCTTTTTACTATCAGCGAAAATACATTAGATCTTGAAGTGTGATATGGAGAAAGGCATTTCTTTATTTAGCGCTATGTTCGAACTCGTTCCAAACGTTCTATTTTTTTATTACAAAACTGTTTAAAGAATGTTGTACATTTCTAAAGATTCTACAATTTAAGCAACTGCTATGGAGCGTGGCGCCCGTTCAGATCTCTCAACTCATTTCATCACGAAGCCGACAACCCCAAACGTTCGTTACAGCCTATTTTTGATAGGCTGTAACTGCTTGTTGCTGCAATGATTAGTCCTCTGTAGTTGCTATGCTTGTCAGAAGGGTTTAATGTTTTAATTTTAGTTATTATTGCGATATCTTGGGATTTGAATAAAAGATGTCTTCCTCGTAACGGCTTTAATGGCGGACTGAACGGTGACGTTACAATAATTAACAAATACCTTACACCTCCAGCCTTAAATATCTACATAATTATATTGAAATGAACTTAATAGGTAACTAATTTTAAACTTATAATTTAACTATACCATTAATCTAACATTGGAATTTAATTACGGGTTTTCGGATTCGCCTGGAACGGGTCACTGGCCGCGACGGTGGCGGTGGTTGTGGCGGAGTGGCGGGGTCTGGAACAGTCTCGCTGGGACATTGCGTATCTGCTATGTGCTCGGTTTCCACGTCATCTTTTCCAGCAGAAACCACCACTTCCGTTTACAACTCTGAAGTCGCATCTGCAAACTCATCCTCATCCTTTTCATCGACCTCATTAGGGATATCTGGACAGTTAACATCGGATAAGCGCGACCTACGTATTATTTGATCAATATGTCTTTTAATAAGTCGACCGTCACCATTGTCGAGAACGTATCTTCCAGAAACTTCTTTCTGGGCTACCGTGCCCTTGACCCTTTTATCCCGGGTGCCGTAGTCCCTAATCCAGACGGTGTCTCCCAAATAGAAATTACGCGGAACACCACCCGCATATTCGACTTGACGCTGCTGAGCATCGAGCACACGCGCTTGCACCACGTATCCACCGCGAAGTAAATCCAACCGTGAACGCAAGGAACGTCGCTGCAGCAGCATCGCTGGGCTCTCACCCGTGGTGCTTTGCTTACTGTTGCGATAGTTTAGTAAAAAGGTTTGTAGGGCGGTATCAATATATACGTCATCCGTATAAGCTTTTTAATTGCCCTCTTACACAGCTTAACAGCATTTTCCGCTGCCCCATTAGATGCAGGGTGGTACGCCGGTGAAAACTTTTGCTGAATGCCATTATTTTTCAAAAAACTTTTAAATTCAATACTTGCGAAAGGCGGTCCCTGGTCAGACACTAGTTCTAAGGTCAAACTGAATCTTGCAAATATTCACCTCAGCACCTTAATAATGGAAGTCGCATGTTCGCGAAGTTCGCAAGTTCGCGCTACTTCAATAATTTCAAGCCATTTCGAGCTCGAATCTATTAAAACTAAATAACTTTTACCTTTATACGGCTCTAGGAAGTCTATGTGAACTCTAGACCAGGGAGGCAAGTAGGGCCAGGGGTTAGGAGGCGCGCGCGGCGAGGCGTCCGCTTCAGTGGCGCAGGTCTCGCATAGCGCTGCCACATCCGCATCGATGTTCGGCCACCACACGTAACTCCGTGCCAGCCCCTTAGTTTTCACGATGCCCATGTGGCTGCTGTGTCGTTGTTTTAAAATAATTGGACGTAAATATGAAGGTGTAATACCTTCTATACCCCCACATAATCGATCCGTTATCTAAATATAGTTCATTACGCCTAACAAAATAAGGTTTAACCTCTTCACCGGGGCAAACTGTCGGCCAACCCAATTTGATATAGGCGAAAATTTTACTAAGAACAATATCCTTTGAAGTTGCCTTCGTAACATCCTCATTATTAACCGGTAAAAAAATTCCACAAAGTTAATATAAGTAATTTCTCTATTTATCGTTTTTTATTACTAGAAGAAATCGGTAATCTTGATAAACCGTCGGCGCAATTTTTATTAGACGTTACGTATTCTATATTGTAGTCGTAAACAGATAAAAGTACGGCCCAACGTTGGATACGTGAAGCGGCCATAAACGGTATTCCAGTTTTTTTACCAAATATGTGTGTTAACGGTTTATGGTCCGTACGCAATATGAATTTTCAAGTTCAATTACTTATAAAAATAATAATTAGTTAATTTATATATAAAAAAAATTAAATGCGCTTTGAATTTATGTATAAATATTACAGGAAATCTTGCTATAAATAGTTATACTTTAGAACAGCTAGTTTTGATTTACGATTATGGAAAACACTAATTTTGTAAAGAATAAGTAATTAAATAAATTGTATACGTTTTAGTACTTTGTATTGACTCATCGTGCGGCCTCTACGAGTATTTGGTGATTCGGCAAGCTGGGCAAACTGTGGCTCTTCTATTTTCTATGTGCGAAGATACGTTAGATATTGAAGTGTAGTGGAGAAAAGCATTTCTTTATGTCACGCAATGTTGAAACTTGTTTCAAAAGTGCTATTTTTTTATAACACAACAGTTTCGGGAGATTACGACACGTCTTCTCATCAGGTATACCTCAAAACTTGAGAACAAGATTGCACAATCAATGCGTGTTGCCAGTGATAACTTATGGACCCGAGAAGTGGTCGTGTGACGTTTGAACGTGGCCGTCTAGAAGGCCCAAGATAGCTCAGCGAGCTATGGAGGGGGCTATGCTCGAGATTTCTCTACGTGATAAACTTAAAATGTGGATATCCGCTGTAAAACCAGAGTAACTGACATAGCCTAACGTATAAGTAAGCTGAAGTGGCAATGGGTCAGCCATATAGCTTCAAGAACTGACAACCGATGGGGAAGAAAGGTTATGTAGTGGAAACACCGTACTAGTAAGCGAAGTTTAGGGTGACCCTCTAAAAGTTAGAGTGACGATAAAATATCGTACCGTACTTCGTGGCAATCTATGGAGGAGGCCTATGTTAAACAGTGAACGTTTGATGGGCTGTACCAAAAGTAACCGATATTCATAGTAAAGCTTTAAGTAGTTGCGGTGTTTTTTTTTTCTTACTCATTACTAAGACGGCATCATGTTAAACCAATGAGAGTTTATTCTATAAAACATAATAATAGTATTATCGATTAAAAGTGTTGCAATTCTTTTTGTTTTTATAAATTTATATGGTTGTTTGATTTAACATTGACGGCTTATTACCGCAGTGTTTAAGCGTTTGGTTGGTGGCGGCGCTAAAGAAGCGCGTGTTCGAATCCCGCACAGAAGAAATATTTTTATAGACTAAAAAACAATTTTCAACTCTGAATATTTATCTTTGTACAATTTATATGTTTAAAATGCTTTAACGACCCTTAACATGATCCTACTGGAGGGCAATAATTATCATAGAATACATAAGATTAAGCTTACATCATTTCGATATTTTTTATCATAAACATCATTTCTTAATTATAATTTTGAAAGTAAATCTAATCTCAGAAAAGTGTTTCAACTAGGTGCTTTTTATTATGAAAATACTAGCGCTCTTTGATCCCTTCGAAAATAAATTTAAATATTAATTAATAACATATTATAATGAGCTTTGATTTTTTTTGTGTTATTATTTATGTTTACTTTCATTTTGATTCATCTTAATATTGATGGATAATAAATCAAAAGTTTTAAATGTAAAATTTTGTAGATGATATAGTCATACTGCTGAATGAATGTTATAATTGTGGTACGCATGAGTCGGCTTGATCGGAGAAGGATACAGCGTAAAATTGACAATAGAAGAGTACAATAAAGTCGCCACAGGACAGGCCCGTCTAGATTCATTTAAGTTTAAACTTTGGTGGAAAAGAGTGATCCAATTCGTTTAATACTCCATGTGAGGGCTGCGTGAGTGAGGCTTTCAAATCCCATCAAGGGCTTTTCAACCCCCATTGAATTGTCAGATACTAATTTTAAAAGAAGTGTCTTGTAACGTTGAAATATTAAGGACGTCGAACTCGTGCGGTCCATTTTCCTTTTTGGGATTGGGAAAATGGCGATGCATACCACCTACCTTACGGAGACACAGAAGAGTTATGTTGAACTAACGCCGACTAAAATACCCTGTAATTGCACCTTCATAGTGTATCGACAGAACCACACTTTTGCACATATCTGCAGCTCAATTAACGCCGGCGCAGTAGACTATCCAACTTATTATATTTTTTACGTGGTAGAGCCATGCTGCAGCTATATTATAGTTGTAGCAAGAATGGGTCAGCTCTACCGGGCAAGGACCACGCTCTCACAGAATACCAGCATAAAATAGCAGCTTCACGCTGCTGTGTTTCGTATGGTGAGTGTAGAAAAACGGAGACCCTTTTGACTGGAAACGAGGCATTCCATCTTAGTCCTCACGGGTGACAACGCATCTGCATTTTGATTCTTAATCGATGATAGATGTAGATGTCTATGGGCCAAAGCAACCACTTACCATGAGGTGGACTGTGTGCTCGTTTGTCACCGTTATCCTATAAAAAAAACCACAGTAGTGGATGATGATTCCACGAGTATGGTGCGGAGATGAGGTAAAATACACATCTTTATTTTTTCCTCCCGCAACGCCACCGTGTTATTGGAGTGGAGTTACTCGGACCACGGTACATCAAAGTGGGCTAGGGAAACCCACTCGTCCACCTCGGAGCAGCCGTAGATGACCATGCTTCCTTAGTCTTCTGGAGTGTGCTTGCATTTATTTATTAATAGGGGATAGACTTATCAGTATCTACCGGCGATTGTTCTATTGGCACTTATCGTCAGACGGACTTGGATACTTATTTGTCATCTTTATTTATAAAAAAATCTAAATATTACATAATCTTAAAATATTTTAAAATATTTAATACGTCTAAATAATCGTAACTGACATTAAAATACTATTAGCATAAAAACAGCAACAGATAAACTTAATTTATTTTCTCTTTATCAAATAGTCAAAGTGAATAAAAATAAGCGATAGTAAGGAATAATTATCTACGGCTTTCTGTTTGTTGGTAATTTAATTTCTATGATAAAATAGTAACTGTAGATAACATCAGAATCGAATTAAAAATAAATATAATATTTCAACTGTGGCAACATTTAAACGTTCGAAAAAATTATCAATTATAAAAAAAATATCCTACTGGGTTTCTTGCTGTTTCTTTCCAGGACAGAGAAAATTTCCAAACCAGTGGTAAATTACTCATAAGAATGATTTTCAATACGTATTATTTTTATTCTATATTGAATAAAAAAAATTACTAATCTACTCTACACTAGTCATCAAAAAAATCGATCCACTTGCGTTTTTAACGCAAATCACTTTTTTCCTAAGCAAAACCAAACAAAATGTTTTAGTACTGTTATGTTTTATTTACCTTGTTTATTTACACCAGTTTAATTACAGTTAAAACATAAAAATGATTATTGCATGTCGTTTTGACTGCAAAATCAAAATTCTGAATTTTACACGATTTTTTGATTAATTTTTAAATGCGCTCTAATGTTTATGTCATAAATGTTATCTACACAATTAAACCTTTTATTTTAGGGTATACCACATACTCTTCATAGAGTTAAAATGAAAGGGCTCTTGTTGGCCACGACATAACCCACCTTTTCAAGGTGGTGTATGCATTAATTCAAAGTTCTCTGCAATATAGGCGGCATATGGCACCACATGGTCTTCTAAAATCTCGATGATGTAACGTGCTGCATTTAAAACACTTTTTCGTATGAAAACCAGCCCCGTGCGTCCAGTCAATGATATCTCAGCCCAAAACATTACAGAGCCCCTACCGTAACTGAAAAGAGAAACTGTTTATACAACACTGGGTATAACGTTCACCTCGCCATCGCATGTTATTACGGCATCCATCAGAAGTGTATAAAGTCATTCAACTCTCATCACTAAAAAGAATTGACTCCCATTGGCATAGATCAATGGAAGTCAGTTCCCATTTTTAGTGTTCAGTTGTTTACGCGCAAATTGAAGTCTGGCTTGTCGTTGAGCTGTGGTTAATTGTGGTTCTGTTGCTGGATTGAGAGGTCTTAAATTCTGCTCCCGAAGTCTTCTTCTTACATTATTGTCACTTATAGAGCAACACTTCGATCTTCATGTAAGAATCGCTAGAGATCAACATCAGATAAGTGCGATTTCGTAGAGCTGATACCAATATAAAGCGGCCATCGCTTTGAGTTGTCAGCCTATGTCTTCCAGATCCAGATCTTCGTAGATACTGCCTAGTCTCCAGAAATCTTTGGTAAGCTCGCCGCACTGCAGAACGGCTCAGATTTAACTTCCTGACCACGAAATGTTGACTTAAGGCATGTTGCAGCAAAGCCACAATATGGGCTGCCTCAGTTTCAGTAGTGTTCGTTATTTTTATATAAAGTTATCAAAACTACAGTCTCAGTAAATAAACTTTACGTTATTAACAAGAAATTCCTACAAAAGTGTTTCGGACTGAACGAAAGTTTCGAATTTGTTTCAACGCAAAACAATACAGAAAATAGAAATACTATTTTCTGTATAAAAATTGTTAAGTACCTTCAAGTGTAATAAGATTTACTACCCACAAGATGAAAAACATCATATCCGACCCTCAAAATAAAAAAAAATAAAACAAATGTGTGAAAC